TGACAGCACCACTGCACTCTACTCTCAGCAAGGAACAATATAGGAGGAAGAATGAATGTTTTTGGTGAAGAATTGAGGGAGTTGAGTTGTGCTTAAATAGGCCAGTGGAGAAGAAGAAGACACAGGTTTGCAGCTTCCGTGATTGAGCGACGATTTGGAATCGGCGTAATTGAACAGGGCGCCGTTTGGTGTGTAGTCCCTGATTGGGACTAATTTTGGTCCCAGTTGGGGTACACTTTTTGTTCCAACTTTCTCCAAAATGAAATCCGATTGAACCGTTGGGATCAGACAGTCAAACTCTACATAATGATATGATTTTCATTATTTATTAACAAACTTTAGAATTTACTTATTTTTGGGTCCTTCTCAGTAATTAATTAATTATAAATTAATTAAATCTGATAGGCCTATTTTTCGGGCGTTACATGGGCTCTCCTACAGAGTTGGCCCGGTTGAAGAAGGAAAATGAGGAGATGGCTCACATCCTGAAGAGCCAGGCAGATGAGCTTATCCGGCTCTCTGGTTTAACCGGGACAATGAAGGCGGAGATCTCCCAGCTCAAGGAAGAGAATGGTCAGCTCATGGACGAAGTTTCTGCGACGAAGAAGGAGATGGCGCTGAAGGAGCAAAGCTTCCCCGGTCGTGCAGGTGCATGGGTGGATGAGAACAGAACCGAAGCCGCCCGGGTGATGACGACAAGCCCGGAAGCTACCATGGAGTCCTTCAGGCTTCTTTACTGGGAGCCTGAGGGGAAGAAGATGATTACCGCTATTGGGTCCTTCGGGTTCAAGAGCGGTCAGAAGAAAGACTGGGCTGCTTCTCACCGGTTCATGAAGAAAAGGGACCCAGACTTCAGTGCAGCTGCCTATGGCTTGGCCCCGATTCCGGAGGAAGATCCTACTCCCCCCCTTCCCCCTAGATTCATCTCCCGGCTGTGCCCGGTTGAGTTGGTTTGTAAAATTTCAAACTTCATTTTCCCGGGAATGCCACCGGTAACCTGGGCTGGCTCTCTACTTCCTCTTTCTGACGAGAGGCCCTCGTCCTCGCTGGCTCCTGCCGGTTAGACCGGGAGCGCCGGGTGCGGGCAGGCTCGGCCTCCCGCACCTCGCCTAGCCGGGCGAACGCGCTGACATGGGCAACGCTCTGCCCCAGCCTTTGTTTGGCTGACTTTCTCTGGCCCTCTTCCCTGTCCCCCAGCCTTTCGAAGGCGGAGTTTCGGGAAGTTGCTGGGCGAACAGTTTTTCCCTTTTTCTTGTGAGCCCTCGGAATGTCCCACTCGCCGTCATCACTCTCAACTGAGACGCAATGAACATCAGGGGTGACTTGCGAATTTGTACCTTGCGGGGGACGCGACGGCCCTGCAGTGTTAAGCGCGCCAGTCAAGTTGACAGGGGCCATGGTGCTGACCAGCTGCGGCTGGAAAGGTAATGACTGCGACATCGGCGTCTGGAACGGCGTCACTGCCATCGGAGCTTGTAGGGGCACGGTTCCCGCGCCTGGAAGAGCGCATGGCCATGACCTGGCCAAAGCCCTGGATGGCTTGTAGGTTGGCTGGGTCATTCATGAACTGAGTCATGCTTGGTGGGAACGTGACCCTCGGTCCAGCGGAAAGGACGGGGGTCGTGAATGGGCTGATCACGCTATGCGTTGGGACGGAGCTCAGACCCAAAGGCAACACCGGGGCTGAAATGACCAGTAGGGTAGCAGCCACAGGGATGCTGGTACCCTCATTGGTGGCTTGCACCTGAGTGGAAGTAGCGTTGATTTGTTGGCTTGAAGATATTTTGAGTGGTGTTTTTGTGGGTAGGTTTGTGTTTAGAAAAGAAGAAACCTTAACGGTCCCACGGGTGGCGCCAAAAATGATGGTGTAAATTACTTGACCGGTCAAACTATACTAGACCGGGTCTAGAATAGTTCGCTTGATTTGGCAAAGTAAGAAAGGTAAAAACACGCAGATTGACCGGTAGGATTTTAGGTGGAACACCTGTAGCCCAATTTATATTATAACGGAGAATGCACGGGTGCTTTTACAAGGGAGTTTAGAGAGAGTGAATCCGGATCCCTCTTTCGAAGGTTTACATGAGTATTTATACTAGGCTAAGGGGGACAAGACCACGTGTGCCCACGTGGGGGCACGTTGCTGATGTGGTGCGAGATGACTGTCCCTGAGCTGCCTTGTCATCTTGCGAGGGGGATTTCTTCCCTTGTCGCGTTCTGGCTTGGAAATATGCCTCCAGCATCTCCACTGAGTCCCCAGCAATGCCACCCACTACAGTCCAAGTCCTTTTGGACTCTTCCTACCGACACTTTCCAATCATTAAAAACTGCACCGGTTGGTTCTTGAGGGTTGGATCTGCTAACTTCAAAGGATGAATTAGACCCCGACATAGTTTGACCGGTATACTATCCGAAACATACCGGTCAACTTTTTGGGTCAACCCTCTATCCTTCCAGTGATGATCCATCTCTCTTCCAAGTTCGAACTCTTTGACCGGTCAACTATCTGGTTCTGACCTTTGACCGGTCATGGGTGAAATACATCTATCAAATAGCAGTGTTATATGTTTCGTACCTATGATTCCAATTTTGTCCTTTAATTAAACATCAAATATTCATTACACACTGCCAAAAAATATGATTGTTTTGGGCAGTGTGGTTGTTCACTTGTAATTGTGTATTGCAGTGTGATTTTTTTATATGTGAGAATTTAATGTGGCAGTCTAGAATTGATCTATGTTGTTCCTTCTTACGATAGTGTGTAAGTATATTATTGTGTTCCTTAATTTCATGTTGGAGTATAATATCCATTGATTTATGTGGCAGTGTTTTCATGTATAAATTCTACACTGCCAAAAAGTGTATGACTGCTTTCATGTATGAATTCCACACTGCCCAAAAAATGTATAGCTCTTTTATATATGAATTCCACACTGTTTTCATATATGAATTCTACACTGTCAAAAATCTGTATGATTATTTTCATGTATGAATTCCACAATGCCCAAAAATGTACGAATGATTTCATGAATAATCTATTACACCAAAACACACTGGCCAAACTTGGGCGTTAAATATGAAATTTAATTTAATACGTACGAACTTGTTTAGGCATTTTACATTGGTAAATTGCGTATGAGGAGAATCTCGAAGAGCTATGATAAACGGTGTAGGATGATGTTATCGCACGTATGAAACGCACGAATGAAAAGGAGCGGCTACGTGAATAACCTAAGTTTAATCAAATAATTAAAAGTAATTAAAAAAATAGAATATAATAAAAGGTAGAGGGTATGCTTGGAAGATATTGACACTATAAATTGCTAAATTCGTATAAAAGATTAGGGAGTGCTATATGTGTAATATTGAGTGACTTAGAGTGCTACGTAGGGTAATTTCTAATATGGAAACCCATTTGTTATAAGAGATTAATTATGGAATTTATTCAAAAAAAATTATGTGAGAAGTTTCACAAAAATGGTATGCACCCAAGGTGCACCATAGAAGCACTCTATGTGAGAAGGTCGATGTAGACTTAGGTATACCATTAGGCCATGCGGTGTGCTATGCAAGAAGGGGATGCGGGATGCTAGGTGGTGCGGGAAGGGAAGGGGAACTGTTAGTTCCATATTGTGTTGGCATTACTTTTTGACAAACGAATATATTTACCTAGAATTATTTTAGATGTTTTATTTAGACTTAGAGTCCTAGCGTGTGCAGAAAGAGAAAGAGGAAAGAGCTTGAAAAGTGAATTATATCCTACTTGGTTTACTATTTTTGGAGAGGAAGCCATGATTGAGACTCCTAAGTAAACTCTAACAGGGTTATTCTATTCCATATAATATCTTCGCCTTCCCTTACGGTTTTGGGCGTGCGAGAGTACGAAAGAACATAAGCAGATCCGATCAAAAAAGAAAGAAGGTGCAAATTTTGACAGTTCAGATTTTCTAGACAACCTGCACGAATTTGATCATACCGGAGATCCGACGATTGGATTTTTCCGAAACTTTCAGAGAGTGTTTCCAACACATAGGGTTTCAATCTATTCAATTTTTACGTCAATCGAAGTTACGGATCTTCTATTATTGAAGTTACAATCTACATATTGAAAGAGGGTTTGACGCTGATTTATTGCAGAAAATGCAGCTCTGGTTTTGTCGATGATCGGAGTACCAAATCTTGTCCGATCGTGCTGAAATTTTAGGAGGAGTCTAAGGACTCGTGGAGATTCAATCTGAACAGTGGAGATCAAATTCCAATGGTTCAATCTCGATTTATGAGCTTTCGATCAATCTGCATATTTTTGGAGAGCAAGACAAAATCTTTGTTTGAAGGTGTACTGGAATCTACGTCCTTGAAGAAGATTTTGGAGAAGGTGTAAGAAGCCGTGGAGATAGAGCAAATAGAGTTTGTCATCAAGTCATTCGTAAGTAGATAGATCAATACATTAGAAGGTTCTATTGTGATTGATTGTGTAATTTATACGATGATTTATATGGACGTGAGCCCCGCAGACGTAGGAGAGTTAATCCGAACTGCGTAAACAATTTTTGTGCACTGTTTACTGCTTTTACTTTATATTCTGCGCGTGTGTCTGTGACAGAGAAGATATTATATCACTCTATCTGTCATCTGTTTACTGTGACAGTGATGCAGTATCTTCTCTACAGCATAGTTGATTGATAGTTTGCTTAGCTTTCAATTAGAGATTTCCGCTGTGCACCCCCACAAACTTTCAGGTACACCGCCCCCAATGTGTTAACGGAAAAACGGGTTCCCCATCTCGTTTTTTCCGTCCTATTTTTCTGCTTTTCATTTTTTAAATTTTGATTTTTTGATTTTTTTTAGTTTTTAAGTTTTTTTATTTTGAGGTTTTGTAAGTTTGTATTATTTAATTATATTTTATATATTTAGTTTAATTATTTTAAGAAATATGTGTACTAAATATACTAAAACTTAAGTCATTTCCCTAAATAGCACTGAAACTGTTTTATTCTTTAAATATCACTTAATAATGTCTATAATGTCCAGTGATGATGAATATTTACTTGAATAATGACTAATGCATAATAACTTAAAGTGCTATATTGGGAAAAAAACACATGTGGTGCTATTTAGAAAAAGTCATTATGTTTTAGTACTATTTAAGTAAATACCTCTTATTTTAATTTAATTATGTATTAATAAATAACAAAGTAAATTTTTATTGTTTTTAGTTTAACTATATAAATTAAAATAAATGTTAAAAATAATAATAAAAATTAAAGGAGAAAAAGAGAATTCATTTGCCCAAAGGAAAGAAAAGAAAAAATAAAAATAAAAAGTGACGTGTGGCTGAGTTTGGAAGGAGCGGAAGAGGGCAAGAAGGGAAGCACAGCTCATGACTCCATTACTCCTTATTTTCCAAACGGGGAGAGAGCCTAAATAGAGCAATCGCTTACTTCAGCTTTGTTGGTGAGTCACCATTAGTCCAGTCTTTTCTTCCCTCACGAATCCCCACTCGCCGAATCTCTCTCCGTCGGTCGGTGCCAAGCAGATCCGCCGTGTCGGAATCAGCTCCGTTAATGCAGCTGTCTTCGCCGACAATGCCGACCAAAGCGAAATCCGGCGTGGTGACGATACTTTGCATATTATTGCTTCGTTGGGCGCATGCCTCAGTTCATGAGTACTCAGCGGAGAAATTCGCGAGCAAAGGCAATGCGTTTGTCGTCCATGGCGGCAGCGAAGGAATTTACTCCTACAATCAGAACCGCAACGAGTCGTCCTCTCTATCTTCCAACGGCGATGCTTTCATTCGGTGATTTTTCTACTCTCTCTGCGTGTTAGCACATAATTTTACTGAGATCTCATGTTTTTATATCTGATTTGGTTCTCTTTTCACGCATTTCGTTAATTATTATGATGTGCAGAGACATTGTGACCTTTGAATTCATGCTGTTTTGGATTTTCAGTTACAGTAAACGAGTGTTTATTTTTTGTTGTTGGATCAGTTAAAATGGAGTCCCTGCTCATGATATTAGGAGGGTGTTTGGCACCTCATATCTGCTTCTCCGAAACGGTGTTCTATGTACCAAATAGTAGTGGTGAAAAGCAGAAGTTGACATGCCAAAAATTACTTCCACTCAAAGCAGAAGCTAAATTATTAAAAGCTGCGCACTGCCAAACACCCTCTAAGTGTCGAGGCTTTGAATTTTGATTTGCTCTGTGGTTAGTGACTGCTTGGTTGTGCTTGATCAGTTAAATTAGTTCTTTTTGAAAGATAAGATGGATTTGTGGTTGACAGGTCAAAACATGCAAAAACGTTTGAACATTTTATTTTGTAATTGATTTCATTTTGATGCGCTGAATCTATTGAGTTCATTTTTTTGACTTTTTTTGTTGTTGTTGCAATTTACATGGCGATTCACTCATTCACAGCTTGATATCATCCCCAATTCTCCTTTGCATTTCATAACGTACACTGAGTTTGTACTTGATGAAGAAGTACATAATATACTTTTAAGCAGCTACTACACCAAGCAAAAGAAGATTGTAATTTATAGATGCTTTGATTTGTGTTTTCACACTTAATGGTTCTTCAAAGGCATGGTTAGTGTGTCCTATTGAACTTAGTGCATGAAGAAAAACTTTTTCCTGACGCCCTGACCTGTTTTCTCTTACTACCAGCTTCGAGAACATTATATTCCAGAGGCCAAAAGAGTTTTCAAATTTCAGCTCA